TCGATATGAGTGTTCTATACCAAAAAAATATTCATTTTGAAACCATCTCTGTATTAACATAGTGGTAGAAAGAGTACCATGCTGCGTTTAGACTTCAAACGGCTTAGCTTTAACCATGTTTAAGAGTCCCACATTACTGGTTGATAGAGAATCAAAGTAGATTTACCAATGAATCACGAAATGCTACGGTTCTTACATATGATTTGTTAATTTATTCAGAAGTAATTCGCGAGATCATGCACCTTTCTTTCCTAGTTATAGCGGAAAAAGTACAGCTGGTCGGATCCAGCCTATTCTTGAAATAAACAACTCGCACACACTCCCTTTCCAAAAAAGATCAATACACCAAGCACTCCGCTTAAAAGAAATGACTCACTCGGAATCTCCATGCCACGCAACCCAAGATTCACGCTATCAGACTACCAGACACGATGGGTTGACGGATGGGTGAACAAACCTGCTTTTGCTTTTCTCAGTGGCAAGTGAAAGAGAAATGAACTGCAGAGCAAGCTAAGAAAGGGGTTGCTCTTCTACGATATTCTATTAGCTCTATTCCTGCTGACACTCCCCAAACACAATAAAGAAAAGAGAGAAATAGGAACTGATGGCAATCTTGGTCAGTGGAAGTGGTGGGGCTAGGGCTTCGTAGCGGGTGGAATGGATGAATTCTCGTAATATCAGACAAGTCTTAGTAGATAAGTATATCCAATTAGCAAGCAACTTCAAACCCTCTGCCCACGAGTATTGTGGAAGATATTAAGCTGTTGTTTATTCTATAACAGACGTTAGTAGTGATGCAACTTGGCAAAAAGCTGCTTCATTGGCCTTATCGACTGAAGCTGATATTAGGTCTGGCGCCGAGGCGCTTCTGATGAACCAAGTGAATAGGCCGGTGAGAGAGTGCACGAACTGTGCCGACTTGCTCTTTTGTGTGGGTGAAGACCTATATTGAGAGCTTTGGATCACATTCAAGCTCCGAAGAATCTCGATCGACCGAGTAGGTAGTCTCTAGGGCAAACTTTCTAATAACATATCCTTGACTAAGCTCCTCTTCTGTCTGGTACAAAGTCTTAGAGGTCACGCTCCTCTATACTCAACTCCCACTCACTGACGTAGGTTAGGGAAGGAAAGGGCAAGTACTTTTTGTTTTTGATAGGCGCCTCTATTTGTATTATTTGTATGGGGAATTCACTTTGGTTGGCTACTCTCGCTGCTTATCTTAATCTTAGCTCGTAACGTGCGCTGGTATCATCCCGCGTTAACGGAACGGCGTCCTATATATGGCTGTGTAGCAGTTTGACCCCATCTTCCTCCAAGTCAAAGAAAGAAAAAGACATTAGCGGAAGGTTCGGTTCGGCCCAGACACCGATCCAGCAGCAAATGCCACACAGTAAGAGTTTACAACGGGAAGTGCCAAGTCTCTTGTCAAAGCCCAAGAGATCGTTGCAACTGCAGCTCGGTGTGCTAAATAATGAATTCTTCCCATTGAAGAAATGGAAATGGGAGCCGTTCTGTCTTATGATGAAATGATCTATGGAATATGAAGACAGAGGTTTCTTTATTTCACTTATGGATTGGTCCCTTGATCTAAGGATGCCTCAAGCAAGAGTAGACATTCCATTCCCATTATTCCGCGAAGGCAAGCTGAAAAAGACAGATTCTATAGGCCTATAGTCGTCCTTACCAGTGCTCGGACTTTCCTGTTTAGTTGAGAAGATAAGGTCTGAAACGGGTTTCACTTGCCATTCACTTGCTTTGCCGACTTGCCCTGTTGCGTGGATGCGGACGGAGAGCTTTTCACTCACAAACTAAGAGAGCGGCTGGTGCTCAGGTTTAGCTCAGTAGATCAGAAACTCCATATTGCTGGAATTGAAACAATAAGTTATACCATTGCTATGGCTGGGCTTCCGTATTCTTATGGAAGACCTGCAACTCAAAGTCAACAATCTCTCGTGCTTGTGTTTAGTGAGTAGGCTACCTAAGATAGAGAGAGGCTCCACCTAAACCCAAACACGTAGAAAATGACCCCCTGAATGGCTAGCCAATATAGTTCCAGGTTGCATCAAGTTTGATAAGAATCTCCTCATGAAAAAAAGTGATTATCCAGCACACGCCGGTCGAGACTTTATTGATTGATTGTCAACTGAAGAAGGAGATAAGAAAGACTCCTGCGTTCTCTCATTAATAAAGACTGACTTTACTAGAAAGCAAAGAAGATCTTGCTTCGAAACCTTCGCCTGGCGTATGAACTGGCGGAGCCACAATTCTGCTGGAGTTAGGAGCTAAAGTTCTCACTTTCTTAATCAGTTCAGGTGGGGGTCTTAGGCCAGCGCGGTTACCGGCGACAAAGCCTTGAGAAGATGCCATTACTGCTGTTTTTTGTTTTGGGTTTCAAAAAGGAAGGGTTTGCTGCTTTTGGTAGATCTCAAACTGGGGACCCATAGGCATATGCTAAGGCCGTGGCTGTAAATAATGCCCTTGATGGCCTTACAGAAAGCCCCCCTTATTTTCAATGAAATTCTAGTGATTTAAGCAAGAGAAAAGGTATCTCCTCAATCGAAAATTCTCAGTACAGTCCGCGTTGAGCACAATTATAAGTATAGGAAATTGCCTTATGGGAACGGAAGCAAGAATCCAAGGGAATATTTGTTATGTCAAACCCCGCTCTGTGGATCCTTCTACGGTAGAGGTTCCTTAGCTCTCTTGCCACTACGGGAGGTGCACGTACCGGGGTTCTTACGCCG